CGGGCGCAGGTAACAGCAGTGAAGCGCCACCTCCGCTGCCCCCCAAGTCCCCCAGCTTCCACGCGCCGCCGCAGAAGCCCAGCGTGCAGGCCTTGCCCGCGCCGCCGCCCGCCCTTCCGGGGTCGCCGACGTTCCTGCAGAAGAAGAGGCACGGCCGAGGCCCAGGTAAGCCGCCGCCCGGGGATGCCGCGCTGGCTGGATCGGGCCACCGCATCGGGGTCATCTGACTGTTGTCAGCAATCAGGGCAGTGCTCGGGATCAAGCAAGAGGCCTGCAAAGCCACTTGGGAAGACCTTCTGATTCTATTTTAGACCAGAGCTACTCAGTGCCCTTGTAGAGCAGGCTTAAAACCTCGTTGTTTTTTTTGCAACTTTATTGTTGGAAGTATTCATTTCAGAGACCAAACCAAGGGTGAGGGAGGCCGGGAGACTTGCCCAGAATCACACTGTCAGCAAGCATGGGATTCTGGCCTTGACCCCCTTGCCATCACTTGCTGTGTGACCCTGGGCAACCATCTAGCCTCTCTGGGCTTCCTTCTCGTCATCTGTAAAATATGAACAGATAGCAGCAATTCCTACCTGTCCAGGTTGTTGTGAGGCTTGAGTGAGTCCCTCTGTGTAAGGTCCTGGAGCCGGGCCTGGCAACAGTGAGCTCTCGAGAAGGGTTATGGATTCTTCCTATCACCCTTCCCACCCCAACTCCTCTCCCCGTGGTGGAGGGGGCTGTTTTGCTTGTTTCCCAAACCAGTCTCCTGTTTAATCCAGTCTTGGGTTGGATTATTCCAGTCTAGATCCCAGCCAGAATCTTCTCCGGCCCTCAGTAGATGGATTCGCATTCTCCCTTGTTTTTGACAGTTTCTTCAACTGAATCAAAAAAACTGGGGCCTATGTTTTGAGCCAAATATTATTAATAATCCCTTCCCATATTCAGCACCGACGATGTTGAATCGAGTGCACGTGCCCTGTGCCTGGTTTCCCTGTTCCCTATGGAGTGAAGCTTCCTTCACCTTTAGTGCCCTTCTGAACGGCGAGCACACCCTCCCATACACACACACACACACACACACACACACACACACGGCATCCATGCACACACTCACAAACACACACACACACATGGCATCCATGCACACACTAACACACGCACTCACAAATACACATTCACACATACACTCCTTGTTCTTTCAGAAAGTCTTGATGCAGAAAGTTTTTTAAATGTATTGCCTTGAATTAAAATAATACAAGCTTGTTGTAGAGCAAATAAAAAGAAATTGAAATCACCCATAATGAGATCACCCAGAGATGAAAACTGCCATTTGGATATGTTTCCTTCATTTTTTTTTTTTTCTGAATATATGTACGTGTTTACATGGTTAATACCATTTTCTACATACAGCTTTACATTCTGTTTTTATTTAATATTATATTAAAAGCAATTTTGTCAAATCGTTAAAATTTCTTTATAAGTATATTAATACAATAATCAGTATATTCCGTATTCCTAGTGTGAGGTATCTAAGTTGAGTCCGTTTTGTTATCGTTCTATTTCAAGAAGTACTTTTATAGAAATTTTAGTCTACGTTTTGGATATTTTTTGCCTCTCCATCACAAGAGAGAATGTTTTTTTATTCATTCTTTCAACTGACTTGTCACCATGAAACTCGGCATTTGTCCTGGTGAGCCCCTTCTGATATTTGTGATTTTCAAATGTTCGCAATGTGGTGGAAAAACAATTCTCTGGATTCAGAGGAGTCTCATTTCAAATCCTGGGTTCTCCACCCACTCCTGTGTGACCTTGTGCCAGGTGGATTTTACGCTAACCTTCTTGATGTTTTTTATTTGCCGAATGGGAATAAACACACCATTCACATAGGGTTGTTGTGAATATTAGAAGAGACAATGTGGATAAGGGGCTTGCGTGTAGCTGGGGCTCCAGCAGCGTTTTTTCCTTTCCTTCTCTCTCACCACGCGAGGGGCAGCTCCTCATCCAGAAGAGGGTTGGCAGCGCCTTTAGCCCTTGGCTCCTTTAGTCTGCTCCTGGGAGCAAGTGAATCCCAACACCTAGGAAGGGAAGACCAGAAAGAGGGAGGCAGGAGGATAGGGGACATTGGGGGATGCTAAGGGGTGCGGAGGAGCTCAGATGCAGTGGCAGTGGGGAGCTATAGCCAGGCAGGCCAGGACTGCAGGCTTCTCTGTCCTCCTCTTCGTGCCTTTGGACATGAAACTTGGTTTGTCCATGTACAAAATGAGGGTACTTTCTGCTTCAGCCCGACTTGGGGGATAGAGAAAGAGATTGTCATTGTGAACATCTTGGCACAGATAATAGCAGTGTCATTGTCATCATTTCAAGAAGCAGAGTGATGTTTGCAGTGTTGCTTAAGAAATCGGCAACAGTGGAATACCTGCACCAGTGTGCCAAGACAGCAGGTTATCGATTGCCAAAGGAGTCAGACAGGAAAGTGTTGGCAGAGGAGAGCATGAGCCCCACACAGACATGATCAGGGTGGGCTTGAGGAAGTAGGTTGGATTTGAGTTGTGCTCAATGGGCAAGAAGGATTTAGATTGGAAGGAGAAATGTGGGTTTGCAATGCAGGAGAGCCAGTGTGAGCAGAAACACAGGGGAGGAACCAGCCCCTGCCAGCTTGTTCTCCCGGCCTCCCTCGGGTCCTCGCCTCCAGATAGCCCTTTCTGTTCATAGGACTCTGCAGTGCTTCCCTTTCTTTGGGCTGTACCATGTGATGATAAGGGCTGTCACCATCATTAATATTACTGCTGCAACTAACATTTATTGAGCACTTAACAACCCGGGTCCTCGCCTCCAGATAGCCCTTTCTGTTCATAGGACTCTGCAGTGCTTCCCTTTCTTTGGGCTGTACCATGTGATGATGAGGGCTGTCACCATCATTAATATTACTGCTGCAACTAACATTTATTGAGCACTTAACAACCCTAGGAGGTATGTGTACTGTTCTCATTCCCATTTTACATAATGGAGCCTGCAGAGGCTATGTTACTTATTCCAGTGGGAGAACTGTGATTCAGTCCCAAGCAGGTTGGCTCCAGAGGTCGCTCTTTTACTCACTACATAATATTACATCCAAAGATCTAAGTACCTAACCTCTCACATAAGATTATAGCATTCACCGTCCCCATGCCTGTGTCTGAATGCACCATCATCTTCTCTCTAAGGGACCGGTGGGGGAAAGCTAAATCCACCCCCGGCACCCCCCGCAAGATCACCCACCACAGAGCTTTCAAGCAAGAGCCAGCAGGCCCCAGCCTGGACCCCAACCCAGCAAGCTGGAGGCCAGCTGCGAAACGGAAGCCTGCACATCATCGGTAAGTGGGGTGCGCCATCAGCCGAGCTGGCTGCGACAAGGAAGTGATTTCTCCTGGCCCCTGGAGAGAGCTTGCCAGCAGCCCACAGTGCTGTCATTTCAGGTGCATGCTTCTCAAAAGAACAGGGAGCTCACTTTAGCATAGGACTGCCTTCAGGTTCTGTTAAATAGGGTTTTTCTCAAGGCTTTCTGGGTGGTTCCAAGACACACTCTCTAGCCTTCTGATTCAGATTAGAGGAAGAGAAGAAAACCAACATTTAAGCTGTGTGTGTGTGTGTGTGCATGTGTGTCCATAGAGAAATGCATCAGCCTGAAAGACTAGATTGATTTGGAACAGGGGAGGGAACAGACAGAAGGCCCGTCAGGCAGGGGAACAATTAGAGCAAAAATATGGAGGTAAGAAGGAAAGGCATCTGGGGTCAGATGTGAGACCACAAAACCTTTGGATGCCTTCTGTGTGCTGGGCTACTGTCAGACACAAGGCCCAGATCACAAAGCAGGGACTCAGCCTGTGAAAAGGCCACAAGACCCCTCCTCTCCTGCCATCAGGAGTGCAGAGAAGAGCCTGTTTGCTCCAGGGAGTCCAGGTCCCACACTGGACACAGGCTGTGCTCCTTCCATCAGTCAAGCTGAGGATCCTTTTCGACCCACCCCTCCCTTCCCCCAAAGCCCTCCCCAGGAGCACAGCAGGTGCTTTAGGCTGCTGGGACTTCACCGCTCCCTTTTGGTACCAGGTTCCCCACCTCCAACTCTGGACTGGGATGGCCCTCCCTGCACCACTGCCACCCCATCAACAGCTTCCCTAAGATGCAGTACATCGGGGCAGGCGATGGGGAGTGACTATGGATTTTGCTTTTCCTCCTTCCCCTTTTCCCAGCCAACCAGTAATACTTGAGAGGCGGATGGCCGGCTTAGTGGAAATATCCTGCCATTAACACCCTTGCACTAAGCGGGCAAACAGAAAACAGTGTATTCAGTCAGAGTAAACTGTGTGCTCCAGGAAATGATCAAAACTTGGGTCATGACAGTAACCTGAGTAAACTTTACCATTTCCCATGTGTGCAGATGATTTTGAGTCTAAATTCACGTTCCATTCTGTGGAAGATTTTCCGCCTCCGGATGAATATAAGCCATGCCAGAAGATTTACCCCAGCAAGATCCCCAGAAGTAAGTACCACCTGGAGAAGACTCCTGGCTTTTCCTGAGCCTCCAAAATTAGGTGCAGGATGTTCATTGATTGGTCACAGACTGTTTAAAGGATGACATGATTTCACTGTACTACTGCACAGATGCGGTGCTGTGCACTCTTCTGGGTGTTTTGGAATACTTATTTGTCCGGATGTTAAGAATTCGCTTAGAAACTTTTTACAGGATACCAGGGTTAATTATTTGGCACCAGATTTGGATGCCTACATTTACCTCTCATCCCTCCCTTCTCTAGGGCTTTTGACTAGGGCACTAAATACCCCAAAATAACAGGGAAATGGGATACAAGAGCTTTGCATTAATAGATGAGGAAGAACCTGAAAATCCCCAATTCGGAACTCTGTTAAACTGTGAAATGGAGAATGTCCTTAGGTCCGTGGTTCTCAACCTTGGCTACACATTAGAATGACCTAGAATCCTGAAGGCCAGGCTGCATCTAGACCAACTAGTCAGAAGATCCTGGGTGGGACCAGGATCTTGAAAGCTGCCAGGTGATTCCAATGTACAGCCAATGAGAGCCTGCCTCCTCCTGATTAAATTGTGCCATCAGGCTCCAAGAGAGGCCTTACCTCGGCTTACCTGTTCAGCCTTAAGAGTAGAAGGGGAAGAGGCTGACTGGCCAGCCCCTCAGAGTCAAAATAGCTGGGAGGCTGAAGAAAAAAGGGCGGGTGTTGTCCACACAATGCAGCTGCCCGCAAGTTAACATGAGCCAGCTCTTGTCCAGTACTGGGCCTGTCAGGTTGGGCAGGTGCCAGTAAGAAGGGGCAGAGCCAACAACAGTCTGGGGTGAGGGTTGGATGTGTTCCAACCCCACAACCTAAGTAAGACCCCCAGTCCCAGATGCCTGTGGACCCTAATGGAAAACCATCGGTGTCAAGGGTTAGCCCAAAACCAGGTGTCAGGAACCAGGCTCTTTGACCTTCTCCCTTCAGAGGGACCTTGGGGAAGTCCCCTCTGTAGGACAAAGCTTTCCGCAGAGCAGAGGGAACGCAGCCTGCTGTCTGCTCAGGGCAGAGATCCTCTCAAGATCAGCCTGGGCAGATCTTTCTCTGCTGGCCTGTGGGACTGCACATTTAGAGAGCAGTGAGCTTGCATGCTCTCTTAATAATATGTAAATATCACTTCTCTGAGAGAGAGCAAAAGGAAGAGGGAGAGAAATCACACCACCTCAGGGTTCAGTAGGCCATGAAGACACAGCAATGGGAGAAGACAGGTGTCGGTCTCACCTTCCAGCTCAGCTCAGCAAATGCGCAGGTACCACTGTGCACCAGGCACCCCCGGAGGCTGCAGGTACCCACCGTGCACACTCCAGAGACAAAATGGCTGTGATGCAATGAGAGTGTCTTAGTCGATGACTGTTTAGAGTGCTGGGGGCACTACAGCGGGCACGGGGGTGGGAGAAGGCGCTAGAGAGAGGGTCACATTTCCATGTGAGTAGGGAGGCAGTCGAGGCAGAGCATAGCACGAACCCAGGAGAGAGCATGATCGTGCTGGGTATATTGAAGAACCATAAGTCCCACACAGGAAAAGGTGTATCAGGACACAGGGGGCCTGGCTGGGATAACACTGCACAGGCTGCCAGAAGTGTTAGGCTGGGGGTGGGGGTATCAATAAATAACACCCCTCTCCCCATCTTGTGAAATAGTTACAGGAGTCAGACAGATGAAGACCTGAGTGTCCGTGTTCTTATTGGAGCACAGGGCTTAGGTGTTCAGAATTAGGCTCACTCACTCCCCCAGGCAGGGTGACTTACACATGAGGAAACTGAGGCAGCCCCCCTCCCCACATTCACAGACCCTGTCTCACAGAACTTTCCACATGGCCAGGAGAGCAGAGTGGAATACCCTCCCATCGACAGGCAGCCAGGCTTCAGAGAGGACCTAGAAGGGGCCAGGCAGCACATGCTAGAGATAAGTGTGCCTTGTCCCTTGTGAGACATTAGAACTTGAGTCTGTGAGCAGGGGAAAAACTGTCAGTAAGAATACTTAATGACCACAGTCCCAGCACAATAACTGATGCTGTTGTGGACCACCTCGTATGTGCCTATTTCTGCTCCAGGTGCTTTCCTTACCTCATCATTCGTCCTAATGCAGAGAGTTTACAGATAGGGGAAAGGAGGCCCAGAGAGGCCAAGTGACTTGCCTAAAGCCTCACAGCAAATTGAAGCCAGAGCCAAGAATTTCTAACCCAGGTTGGTCTGAGCCAGACCCAATGCTGCATCCCCTCTGCCACAGTGAACTCTGAGAAGGGATGTGATTAGATTTAGGTGGTGTGATGGGAGGAGATAGAGGCCAGGGTCAGGGAACCCATTAGGAGGCTATTATGAGTCTATGGAAGGGGGATGATTGGGGTTGTGCTCAGAGTAGTCAGGGTTTGGGGATCCAGGCCACGAGAGGAACAAGGGAAGTGGGGGAGCCAAGGTCCCCCAAGTACCTGCCATGGGCCTGGGTGGATGATGTGGCACCAAGAAGGAGCTGGAGGGGAGGTGGATTCAGGAGGAGGCAATGAGATTCCTGTCATGGTGAGCTGAAGAGCCTGGAGGGCTGCAAGGGGGAGGTGTCCTGGGGCTGGGAGGGGTCAGGGACCACAGGTCTGGGACTGAGGTCTGGGTCAGGTCAAGTGTGAGGACTAGATATGCCAGTCATTAGTTTGGAGATGGAAATAAACACCAGGGAAGGACATGTCCACGAGGTTTGGTGAAATAAGCGTATCCATGTGGCCAGGAAGATATAGCTGCTAATGAACAGGGTTAACTTGGTATCTCCCAGAGATCCAGGACCAGGAGGCATTTAATAAATATTTGACCCCATGATCCAGACAGGCAGCTGAGGGGGAAGAAGGGAATTCCTTTTACTATGCTGTCACGAAGTTATAAATCAAGAATAAGCAGTCTTTAATTTATTCAGTATACTTATTTGTGGTGTTGAAATAACTGCACTCTTGGAAAATGCACACCTACGAATCACAGTTACTGGCTCATTCAGGCTCATTTCCTTCCCCTAAGCTGGGGTTTGCTGGCTAGTCACCTTCATGCCACAAATCCTACTGCTCTGTTACACAAACTTGGCCTCTGGAGGCTTTTCAGTTGGTGACCCCTATCCTAAACCTGAGGTCAGCAAACGTTTTCTGTAAAGGGCCAGAGAATAAATATTTGAGGCTCTGCAGATCTCTAGCGCAACTACTCAGTTCTGCTCTTTTAACACAAAAGCAGCCACAGATGATACATAAATGAATGGGCATGGCTGTGTTCCAATAAAACTTTATTTACAAAAACAAGTGCAGGCTGGATTTGGTCTTCAGGCTATATTTTGCTGATCTGCCCTAAACCATTCTAGAAAAGCACATTCTTAAAAACCTCTTTCTGCTGTACAGCCTTTCTCAGTAACATGCTGTGGGGGGTCCATCAATCTTCAGATTCAGTAAATTCTAAAGTTACCTGCACTTTGAGCACATAGCATACAGCCTCAGCCCTGAGAAGAAAAGCTATCCCCGACAGCCCCGCACAGCTTGCCAGGAGGGCGCAGTTGGCAGTCTGTGCACCAAAAATCATCTCCCGATGTTTAGGAAGGAGCAGGGGGGGAAAAAACTGTTAATGAACTGCCATCCTACAGACTGGAAAGGGCAATTGCAGTTTCAAAAATAAGATCCTGTTTTAGATTGATGTGGCATTAGCGCACGTGAGATACTTCAGTAGCCTCCTAGTGGAATTAAGTGAGCATGTTCCTGCCACCCTGTGAGCCATAACACAGAACCTTGATAATGACATTAGTGTGAGTCAGATGTGGGTATGCCTGTCCCATTACATCTAGCCTTACAGCTTTCCCCTGGCTCACCACTGACTGGTTCCCCAAGACTGGAGCTCTTCATGGCCGGGGAGACAGCGCTGGTGCTGTCAGATGAGTGTGTTCTCACGCTCTGCCTCGGCAGTGCTTGCACTCTCCTTCGCACTCACACACTCACACTCACACACTCACAGCAAATACCCTAATGCTTAGTGCTCCCCGTACCCATCTTCACTACCTCCGCTCCGCAGGTATTAGCTGCTTTCTTTCCTTGGTAGAATGATTTTGTCTAATTTTTTAAAATGTTTTTAAAATGCATAAGTCAAAGAAGCCAGACACAGAAGGCCACATATTGTATGATTCTATTGCATATAAATATCCAAAACAGGCAAATTCAGGAAAGTGGATTAGTGGTTGCCAGGGACTGGGTGGAAAAGGACTGGTGAGTGACTACTGAGGGTGTGTGGTTTCTTTTTGGGGTGATGGAAATGTTTGGAACTAGACAGCAGTGATGGCTACACACACTGTGGATGTTCTCAGTGTCATTAATGGTAAATTTTATGTTACGTGTATTTACCACAATAAAAAGAAAGTGGAAAAAACTCAGTAGGACTCTTTGGGAAAAAATGCATAGGTCACAGATATTTATCAACATAATGAAAGAGGGCTACACACACTGTGGATGTTCTCAGTGTCATTAATGGTAAATTTTATGTTACGTGTATTTACCACAATAAAAAGAAAGTGGAAAAAACTCTTTCAGTAGGACTCTTTGGGAAAAAATGCATAGGTCACAGATATTTATCAACATAATGAAAGAGTAGAAAGAGTGAAGTCATCATCCCATGAAAAGATACTCACTGAGGCCCTAACCCACTGGAGAGATTGGATAAAGGATGTCCTCACAGGCCCTCAAGTTCACACTGTGGTGGAGGAAGGGGGGACAGACGCCCAGCCATGCCGTGTCAGCCTGGCGTGCCCGCAAAACCATCCTCGCCACAGCCAGCTCAGTGGGGAGGTGGCTGGTTTCAGGCATGTTTGTTTCCATCTCAAATCCTAGACAACTCTTCATTTCCCTCTTGCCCCAGCCCCTCGCAACCGCCCTTCTACTTTCTGTCTCTATGATTTTCTCAGTGGAATTATACAATACGTATCTGCCTTTCTGAGACTGGCTTATTTTACGTAGTATAACGTCCTCAAGGTTCATCCGTGTTGTAGCATGTGTCGGAATTTACTTCCTTTTTAAGGCTGAACTGGAAAAAGATATAAGGCTTGCTTGGTTTACAAGTGACAAAAAAATTAGGTTGGAAGCCAGCTTGGCCCCCAGGCGTCTGCTTCTTCAGCCCAAGCACGGACTTTCTTCTTTAAGCCCCGCAGCTCAGAGAAGTCTTTCATGTCAGGGCTGCTCTGTAGCCAGCAACTCCTTCAACTTCTTTTGTTATCCACAGCTATGTGAATGGTGGCAGGGGGCATCTGTTTACAGCAGACAGCAGCAATGTTCACTGTCCGCTCTGTAAGCATGGTAAGTGCTTGAGATTGGGTAGAAATGTAAATAATAATTCTTACTGTAAGTTGCAGTAGCAGAAGTTTGAAAACCACTGTTTTGGTGAATCTGAAATACCTTTCTGTGGGGAAACAGCCCATGTGAAGGACTATTTCAGCAGAATGGCCCTACTCTTTGAATTGTAAGAGATTTTAGTGGGATTTCATAAGGGAAAATCCACCACTACTCCTGGCTTCCCAGGACACTCCATTATCTCTGAACCTGCAGCAGTGTTGTAATATCTACCAAACATCTCCCTTGGCCTGCCCTGGTTCCTGAGCCATCTGTCTTCTCTTCTGGCAAACAGTGCCTTCAGTGGCTCTCACCTGCTCTCTCGCGAGCCGTGTCCACCCAGGCCTTCTCCCCTCCATGCCATCGCAAGAGCTCTTTTCAAGGCCACCAGGGGCCCTCCACATTGCCATCCACTGGTGAGAGGTGCTGGCCGCATCCACCTCCTGCCCCTCTCTCCTCCCTCTGCTGCACGCAGGCTGCTTCTCATTTTTTGTTACACCAAAAACCCCACAGCCCTCTTTGACTTCTCTTCTACTCCCATATTCTGGCTTATCAGTAAGCTCTGGGGTGTCTTTCTTTGAAATGCTTCTGGAATCCAATCTCTCTCATCTCTTCTGCCACTCCCACCCTGGCCCAAGCCACTGTCATTTCCCACCCAAATGGCTGCAGGAATTGCCAACAGGCTCCCTGCTTCACACTGCAGCCCTAGTGATTTGCCTGAAGCCCAAGTCCAGTCCCAGCACCCTCTGCTCAGAATCTTCCACTGAGTTCTAGTCTCCTGTGGAGACACCTCCAATGTAAGAACAGGAAAGGCCCTTTGAGGTCACCCAGCCCAACTCCTTCACGTGCCGCTGCAGAAACCTGCCCTGTTCACAGCTGGTGGCAGAGCTGGGGCTGGGCTCAAGGGCCTTTGCTTCGCGTCCTGTGTGCTTTGACCACATTGGGCTGCCTCTTCACTCCAGTGCCAGGCTGGACCTTAGCTTGGACTGACCATGTTGGCCCAGAGCTGAGTTAGGTCTGCTGCTCACAGGAGCCTGTCTTTTTCCAAACCTACCTTACCAGCCCCCAGGAATTGCACTCCAGGGCTGGCGGGCATTCTGGGGAGGTGCTCGAGAGACCCTGCTTTAATGGCCAGCCAAGTCTGTAAATGCTTTCTGGACATTCTTCGAGTCCTGCGATATTCATCCTCTTGTTGTTTGACTACAAAATGGATTTTTTTTTTTCTGATGTGAAAATATCTCCATGCCTGGAAAAAGATATAAGGCTTGCTTGGTTTACAAGTGACAAAAAAATTAGGTTGGAAGCCAGCTTGGCCCCCAGGCGTCTGCTTCTTCAGCCCAAGCACGGACTTTCTTCTTTAAGCCCCGCAGCTCAGAGAAGTCTTTCATGTCAGGGCTGCTCTGTAGCCAGCAACTCCTTCAACTTCTTTTGTTATCCACAGCTATGTGAATGGTGGCAGGGGGCATCTGTTTACAGCAGACAGCAGCAATGTTCACTGTCCGCTCTGTAAGCATGGTAAGTGCTTGAGATTGGGTAGAAATGTAAATAATAATTCTTACTGTAAGTTGCAGTAGCAGAAGTTTGAAAACCACTGTTTTGGTGAATCTGAAATACCTTTCTGTGGGGAAACAGCCCATGTGAAGGACTATTTCAGCAGAATGGCCCTACTCTTTGAATTGTAAGAGATTTTAGTGGGATTTCATAAGGGAAAATCCTTTTAAGGAGATATTTGGATTAAAACCCTAAGTCCCAGCTACTCACTTTAGCAGCAGTGAAATTTCTTTTACTTGAATATATGCAGAGTTTGCCTGTTTTATGAAGAAACTGATTCTCCTTTAAACTCTCTGCTATTATTTCCAGTCATATTTATGGGAATTGCATACCTTAGTACAGCCTGTTTCATTGCCCAGTTGTTCTCAAATCGGGGCTGTTTTGCTCTGCAGGACATTAGGCAATGTCTGCAGTCATTTTTTGACTGTTACAAGTGAGCATGGGCATGGGGCGAGGCTGTGCTACTGGCATGTAGTGAGTAGTGCCCAGGGATGCTTTCAAACATCCTGCAGCCCACAGGACAGCCCCACAACAAAGAACGGTCCAGCCCAAAATGTCAATAAAGCTGAAGTTGTGAAACCCTGGCCTAGACGGTTTTCTGGAGTGCACCAGAGTTCCTTAAATCTCAGAACTGTAATTTCCAAGGCTATCCTCCCTCATGGAATTCAGTCAGGGGCTGTATATCATTGTCTTTTTCTTTTTACTCAGTTTGTGAGCTGGCTAAGAATCTTATACTCTGTATGTCTTTGGCTCCAAAACATCTTTATTCTAGAACAAATACACTCATTAACTTAAAAAATGTTTTAATGAAAATGTTACCGCCCATTTGATCAATGTTTTATAAGCTTCAGAGACCCTTCTACATGATAGTTTATTTAACAACTATATCTTCCTTTGAAAGATTCTTATGATAACTTACATGAGGGTACTTCAAAATGTTCATGGAAAGATTTATATTATCCTTTAATTTTATTTTTCCATGGTCTTTTTAAAGTACCCTTGTATATGTTTACTGTAGAAAACTTGAAAAGTATTTTTAAGAGATTTTTTTTTTTGAAATGGTGATTCTACCACCCAGGAGGAAACATTTTAGCATATTATTTATGTTTTTTGGTGCATTTTAAAAATAGTTGAGATCATTCTATTTATACAGTTTGAAATGGTGATTCTACCACCCAGGAGGAAACATTTTAGTATATTATTTATGTTTTTTGGTGCATTTTAAAAATAGTTGAGATCATTCTATTTATACAGTTTCACCTCCCCAAAGCCAGTCTTTGTAAACATTCAAACAGCTGCTTAGACCTCTATCATATGATACTGAACCCTAGATTACCTAAAAACTTGTTGAACACAGGTTATCGGTTTTTCACTGTTATCAATAAGCTGTGATGAGCATTTCTGCTTTTCACGTTGCTCTTTAAGTAGGACTGCAACCTGGATTGTTCGGGGGGGCGTTGGGACATGGTTATTTAATTCCTAGCTCATGGCAGAAGCAGGACAGAAAAGTCTTGTACCAAATGAAACAGAGAAGGAGACACTATTTGGAACACCCAGCTGAAGGGAGAGTTCTGTAAGACTTGGAACTGTGGATTTAAAACTTGAATAGACCAACCACAGCATATATCTGTATACATACAGATATATGTAAGTAAATGCCAAAAAGAAAAAATAAAACCTGGAGAGATAAAAACCAAACTTTTAGCTGCGGTGACTCCGGGATAGAAAATTGGGATTTGGGAGAGACACAGGCAGAAAAGAGGCATTTGGGGTTTTTATTTTTTTCTTCATAATCTTCTTCTGTATTCTTTGCATTCTTAATTATGAGAATATATTCATATGTAACTTGTGTGATATTTAAACACAATTTATTTTACAGAATGAGTTGGATCTTCATGGAACAGAAGCGTGGTTTGCATTAGCAGATACTTACCTTTTACTCCTTTTTTTATCTGATGCTAGCATGGAGCTTGGCACGTGGTGGGTAATGGACCCATGAGTATGCTTGGAAATGGTGGATGTTTTGAGTAAGGAACTCTGACGTACTTTTAGCTGATAGGCCTTAATAGTCTGTTCTCCTTGCAGCATGTCAGGCGTGACTCCTCTGTATCCACGTCTGTGACATGGAAGGTGGCGGTTGGAAACACATGGTCTAGGGCCAGGAGCCTGAGGGTTTCGGGTTGCCGGCTCACGTTACCCTCAGGTCCTCTGCTGCTGCTGCCGCCATAAGTACTGGTTTAGCAAAGTGTCTCCATGAAGCGTGCACAGCTGGTCCCTGGGCCAGTAGATGTGAGGTGGTTCTTGTTTCTTTCAGGCCGTACACCTGGTCCCTGGCTCCAGGCCGAGGTCGCCGGGCAGAGCCCTGATGACATCAAAGGCAGAAATTCTCAGGTAAACCCTTCCTTAACTTTCTGTGTGTAAAATCAGGAATTCTCTTCAGGGGCCCACAAATGTTGGGGATGTGCGTTCTCTTTAACAGCTTAACATTCTTCCTCAGACTTTCCCTCAGAGAAAGCCCTTTGATGTACCCTGTCAAGCTGGAATGAAACACTCATAATTCTAAAATCTGAAGGGTGAAGGGGGTTTCCCGGGAATCACCACCACATGCAAAAGCAAGTTGAGCAACTCAGAATCATTCTGCGACAGTCATCCTGATCACTCCCCATTTTTCCCTGGTTATGATGGCTGAAGAAGCCTGTGAGAAAAACTCTATGACATTTATATAACATCACTCAGTGTTCTCTCCCATCCATAGGATTACATGGTTTCTTTCTGCACCCTTGGGATGTTTTTTCCCCATCAATATTATAATTAGTTTTGGCAAAAATTAAATCACAATTTAAGTCCTGGTGGCTATAGGGAATTG